TAAACGAGGTATGTCTAGGGCCTAGGCCCGTGACGGCGAACCTAAGGCACATAGCAATAGCAGTTAGACTTATATACCGCTTCATAGGGCTTTCAGCCCTCTCTAAGCGGTTTACAGAGTCAGCACATTGCCCCCCAACAATCCGGGTCCTCATTTTACCCACCTCGGAAGGATGGAAGGCTGAGTCAACCTTGAGACAGTGAGATTTGAACAGCCGAACTGCAGAACTGCAGTCAGCTGAAGTAGCCTGCAGTGCTGCATTTAACCACTGCGCCACCTCGGCTCTAACGTGCCAGAGATGGCAGGAATGCCAGAAGTGGCACACAGAGCCACCTCTCCGGGCACGCGAGCTGTTGCCTGTTGCTTTTCTGGGTTCCGGCACACTGCCCAGCTGGTCTTCACGCACACGGGAGCGCTGGAAACTGGAACAGCAGCCACCTGGTGCGCCTGTGTGCACCAGGAAGATGATCTTCTGTTCTCCAGCGCGTACATGCGCACCAGCCAGCCGATTTTCATGCATGCATGTGCTAGAAACCGGATTATCTTCCCAATGCGCGGAAGCCCACTGGGCAGTTGTTCTTATGGTTTCCGGCACACACACACGCTCCAGTTTCGGCATTCGTTGCCGACATGTTTCGCCAACACTGGCCTAGGCCCTCAAAGAGAAGGTATAACGGGGATGCGATAGCTCCTTTTCCATTACACTTGAGGATCTGTCACAAAGAAAATAGAATTGGCTTGTTCTCTAGAGATCCACCCTAGAAGTAAGGAGAAATGTTCTGATGGTGAGGAGAATTAATCAATGGATTATCTTACCTCTTGGAGTTGTAGGTGATCCAACACTGGAGGCTTTCAAAAATAGACTAAACAACCATTTGACAGATGGTATAAGGCCCTGATGGCAAACCTTTGGCACCTGAAGCTCTTTCTGAGATCACACAAGCTGTCACCCAGGTCAGCAGCTCCACCGTGCATGCACGCACGCCTCCTGCCAGCCAGCCGATTTTCAGGTCTCTGCCGCGAGACACGTGCACATGTGTGGGGGGTGTGTGTAAGCACACATGTGCGGGGGTGTACTCTCCTCTCCTGCACTCCATTTTTTTGTGCCAGGAGGCTTCAGGGAGACTGAGGGAGGTATTTTCACCCTCCCGGAGGCTTGAAGAAATTCCGGAGCCTGGGGAGGGTGAAAAATGACCCTCCCTGAAAATCTGGAAATCTGGAAAGAGGCCAGTTTCCGGGCTCTGGAGGTCCTCCCCATTTTTGCCCTCCCAGAGGCTCGAGTAAGGCCTCTGGAGCCTGGGAAGGGTGAAAACACCTCCAGCATGCACAGGGGGCAGAACGCATTGCATTGTGGGTATGCACGTGCNTGGAGTCTTGTCTGTGAAAATTCCCTTCAGCAGAAGACTCTGAGGATATTTCTGCATCCTCTAATTCAATGTTTCTTAAACGAGGTATGCCTAGGGCCTAGGCCCGTGATGGCGAACCTAAGGCACATGTGCTGGAGGTGGCAGGAATGCCAGAAGTGGCACACAGAGCCAGCTCTCCGGGCACACGAACTGTTGCCTGTTGCTTTTCTGGGTTCCGGCGCGCCGCCCAGCTGGTCTTCATGCACACAAGAGCGCTGGAAACTGGAACAGCATCCACCTGGTGCGCCTGTGTGCACCAGGAAGATGATCTTCTGCTCTCCAGCACGTACATGCACACCAGCCAGCTGATTTTCATGCATGCGTGTGCTAGAAATCGGATCATCTTCCCAATGCGCGGAAGCCCACTGGGCAGTTGTTCTTACGGTTTCCGGCACACACACACGCTCCAGTTTCGGCATTTGTTGCTGACATGTTTCGCCAACACTGGCCTAGGCTCTCAAAGAGAAGGTATAAGGGGGACGCGATAGCTCCTTTTCCATTACACTTGAGGATCTTCACAAAGAATATAGAATTGGCTTGTTCTCTAGAGATCCATCCTAGAAGTAAGGAGAAATTTTCTGATGGTGAGGAGAATTAATCAATGGATTATCTTACCTCTTGGAGTTGTAGGTGATCCAACACTGGAGGCTTTCAAAAAACTAGACTAGACAACCATTTGAAAGATGGTATAAGGCCATGATGGCAAACCTTTGGCACCTGGAGCCCTCTCTGAGATCATGCAAGCCGTCGCCCAGGTCAGCAGCTCCAC